TGGGTTCCTCCGGCCCCGGCCTTTCCGATGTGGCCCCGATGGAATCGTGGGCCCCGTGTTCATGCTCGTGTCCCCCAGGGACCGATGCTGTTCTGTGCCCACAATAACTGAGTTCTCTGCCGTTCTGGAGCTCTGATGGAGAAACAAAAAGGCTTTTTTCCTCACCACAAAGGCAGTGCTACATAATGAGCTCTTTCATTCTCCCCCAAAACGTGAGTCATGATTCTCTGAGCGACCAGAATTGGCCTTTGCCCCTCATTTCTTGTAATTGTGAGCCAAGCCAGTGGGGGGTAATGGGGTCACCAAACTCCCCTTCATTTCCTCCTCTTTGATGTTAATAATAATAATGATGATGATAATAGTAATAACAACTTGTATTTCACTAGTGTTCTCACTCTGACTCATCTGGGATGTAGCTGATGCTGGGATCTTTGCCCCCACTTTACAGAAGAGGGAACCAAGGCAGGCATCATTCTGCAGTGGAGGACCTGGGCTCCTGGGGTCCTAGTAAGAGGAGGAGGGGTTTCCTGTGCTTTTTGTTCATTCATTCATTCATTCATTCATTGGGTGGGACACAGGTAAGAAAACAAAACTATCACTTAATGTTTGCAATCTGATGGAGGAGGATGGCCTGGGAATAAGGCTTCATCTGATATTTGTGACCCTCCTCAGAGGTAGGCAGGACAAGTGTTTAACCTATGAGCCTCGGTTTTCTCATCTGTAAAATGGTCCCTAATTACTGAGTGGAAGAGTCGGCTTCAGTCTCAGGTCTTGGGAGTTGAGGTCCCGGGTTTGAATCCCTCCTGCCCCTCTTCCCTGCACTCCGATCTCTCCATCTCTACGCTGGATGCTGAGTGTCGTGCACGTGGAGCGATGGTCTCGGTTTTCATAGTCTACTGTTGTCCTGGGTTCAAACCAAGCAAGGAGCCGGCAGAGGAAAGGTCCCGGCGACAGTCCAGAGCTGGAAGCCACCTCTGAGGCCCAGAGGGGGAAGTCACCCTAGGGCATCCGGTCCTACTCCTTTATTTTACAGATGAGGAGACTGAGGCCCAGAGAGGGTAGTGACTTGGCCAGGGGCCCGCATGTAGCAAATTTAAGCCATGATTGTAGGATGCTGAGATCCTGGGGCTGGGATCGGAAGGGCCCCAGAGACCACCTCGGCCACCCTCTCATTTTACGGATGGGGAACGTGGAAGGGAAGTGACGCGTCCACTTTACGTGGAGCGTGAGAAGCAGAGGCCCCGCCTCCAGCGCCAGGGTGCCCCGAGGCCGCCCGGTTCAGCTCTGTGGCTTTAAAACACCACTACCACCCCCTGCTCAGAGCGTGGCTACAGGAGAGCCCATCCCATGGGAAAGACGGTCTTCCCATTCTCACACACGTTCCTCACGTGGGACCAAACTGTCCGAGTCAGCTTCTTAGCAATAAGATCAGGGAGATGGGTGAGATTAAAGGGAGTGTCCCCGTAATTAAGTCCCTGATTGCCAGGTGCTCTGAGCGGTTGCCAGCCACCACTGCCCGGGTGAGGAGAGGGGAGGCCTGGCGCGGCCCCAAGTGGGGGGAGATGTTCTCATGGCCTCGAGTGGGGCCTGCTCACCCGCTCCTGGACCTCGGCATCTTCTCACATGACCCTCCCACCCCGAGAAGGGACGGGGCGTCCGCCTCTGTGTCTCTGCAGGACTCGAGGAACTGCTGCAGTGTCTTTGAGGGCCTTGGGATGGGCCGTGCACGGAGTCACTGGCAAGGGAAAGCTGTCTGTGACAGGGGGACCACCCAAAGAGGAGTCACTGGTTTAGAAATAGCCCAAGGGATGGGCCCAGCTAGGTGGTGCAGTGGATAGAGCACCGGCCCTGGAGTCAGGAGGACCTGAGTTTAAATCTGGCCTCAGACGCTAGCTGTGTGACCCTGGACAAGTCACTAACCCCAACTCCCTCAATAAAAGAAAAGAAGAGAAATTGCCCAGAATGAGGGGCCCAAGGGCAGGGTGGGTCAAGGCATCCAAAACCCTGTGAGAACGAGACACGGGTTGCTGGCTGCTTGGTTGGACCTTGTCCCTTTGATTGAATCTAACTAGCTCTCTGGTCCAGAGGAGGAAACTGAGGAAGCAGCCTTCCCTGGGTGACCCAAGGCCTCTCCAGCCCTCACTGCTCCTGCTGGCCCAGGGAGCCGTCTGAGGCATGACAGCATCCCTCCTCAGAGTTGGGCTGAGCTGTTTCTCACTTCCTCTTTCCATTTTGCCTCTTTCCTCTCCCTAATCCCCTTGATGGACGGCCTCGTCGCTGACTTCGTTGTAGGTCTATGGTCCTCTCTTAGGTGGGCCACGGGATCCAGCCCGCCCTCCATGCATTTCTAGAATTTAGCCTCGTGTCTGGAATGCTGACAGTCCCCCTCATTGTGGTACAGAGGGTGTCCAGGTTCTCCAGGGCTGGACCAGTAGGCCCTGCCAAGCAGGATCTGCCGCTGTTCAGGCCCATCCTGAGCACGATGAGGCGGGCTCATCTCCCCGGGGGCAGCGGGGCCTGCAGAGTGTTACAGGCTTTTAGCCTCAGCAGTTTATGAAGGCCAGTGCATTTATGGAGGCATGGGGCTGGGGGTTAGCCTGGTCTGCCCAGCACGGTGGAAAGACCCCTGGAGGCAGAGGTCCTGGGTTCCAGTTCTGCCCCTGACACTCATCCCCTAACTGCTCCCAGGTAGGATGAGAGCTGCCGGGGTCCCTTCCAGTGCCAAATCTGTGGTCTTGTGTCATGGGTGCAGATTTTGGAGCTGCCAGTTGCTGTCGGGGGGCCCTGGCTGAGTCCCCTTTCCACCTGGGGAGAGTAGCAAGGCCAAAGCCAGTGCCTGCCCTCAGGGAGCTTCCAGCTGTAGATCTGTGCAGCTGTGACAACCACGTTAGTGAAATCTCTCCTCCTTCCAAGCTCCCGGCTGTCATGCTCTCCTTGTACACACTCTAGGAGGAGGGAAGCTGGGAGGAGACCATTGTCCCCATTTCACAGATGAAGAAACCAAGGCCCAGAGGGCTGACTTGTCCAACCAAAGTCATGGTCAAGGTACTAGAGCCAGGCTAGGAATCCAGGCCCTCAGGCTCCAAGTCTGGACAGTGCAGCCCAGACTGGACCTAGAACAGTCCCTTTAGAACAAGTGGTGTTCTAGCCTTTGTGCCAACATCTCCAAGGAGGGGAATCCTCCACCTCCTGGGTGCTGGACTCAGAAACAGAAATACCTGAGTTCTGATTCTGCCATGGGCACTCACTAGCTCTGAACCTCAGTTTCCCCGTCTGTCAGATGAGGGGGTTGGGCTCGATCCCTTTCGGCTCTGAATCTCTGGTCCCAAGATCCTAAGGCAGCCCATTGCTTGGACTGGAAGCCTGAAGCTGTTCCTAATGTCAGAGATTAGAAAAAGAATAGCCCAGACGTGAAAGGCCCTGCCCAGCTCAGGGCCCAGGGAACCCTGCTTGGCCCCCTTCTTGGTAACCATCAAGGCCTTTCTCTGGGATTTGTCTCAGGAAATGTGTTTAATGGATACCTTTTGTTTTTCCATCCATCCTCCCTCCACTTAGACCTTCCTGGGGACAAAGAAAAGTGAAAACATTCACCACAAAGGCTGTATGCAGATGTATATTGTATTCTGCCCCAGGGTCCCCCACTTCTCTGCCTTAGGAGGGGTTCTAGTTCTAGAACTCTTCTCTGCCAGCAGTCTTCCTCCTCAGTGGTCCTTTCACATTGTCCTGGCCCTTGTATGCGCAGTCCACAGGACTCAGTTTATTTTGCTCTGCATCAGATGACATTGATCTCCTGGGGATGGACTTTTGACCTGTTGGCTCTATTACTGTGATTTTTGGGCTGAGCAACATTCCGTGTTGTGTTTTGATGCTGTGGGGGCAGCTTTGCCTTTTGCTTTTTAGAATTCAGTCGCTAAGCATTTATTAAGCACCTGCTGTGTGCTAGGTATGGGGCTAAGAGCTAGGGATACAAAGATAGGCAAAACCACTTCTCCCTCTCTCCCCTTTATCCCCCACCTCTCCCTCCTCTTCCTCTTCCCTTCCCCCTTCCCCCGTCTTTCTCCCCCACCTCTCCCTCCTTCCTCCTCCCTTCCCCCGTCTTTCTCCCCCACCTCTCCCTCCTCTTCCTTCTCCCCTCCTCCGTTCCCCCTCTGTCTCTCTCTTCCCCCCTCTTCTTCCTTCACCCTCATTTCCCCCCACCCCAAATCCTGGGGTGTCAGTATCGTGGTGCAGCCCCCCAGAGCTTTAGCCCCCTTGCAGCCCTTCCTGCCTGGTGTAGGCGTATACCGCTGTGCCTGGCCTTCATGTCATTGTATTTCAAGGATGTAAATACAAGCACAGAAATGAAGCGATGTGGGGGCCCAGATCTGGAGCCAGAAGGGAAGGTTGTCTGATCCAGCTCCCACATTTGACAGATGGGGAAACTGAGGCTCCGGGAGGCTGAAATAGCTTGTTGTACCTCGTTGTTGGCGTCCTGTCTCCCCGTTAGAGTGTAAGCTCCTCGAGGACGGGGACCACCTTTTGTCTCTTTTTGTACCACCGTGTGGGTGCAGTGCCTGCCCTTCTTAGCTTGGCTTGGTGTCGCTAGGTTTCCTAGAACTTCTAGGTCATTACGGCTTGAAGGAACTTGGTCATCCAATCAGATCTCCGTGTTTTAATTTTATTTATTTGCATTTTAAAATGGATTGATTCAGAAACATTTGGTTTCATCACGAGAGACACGTCCTGGCAAACCCCATAAGTGAGTGAGGAGTCCCAGCCGTGTGCCCAACACTCGCTTTACAGAAAAGGAAAATGAGGCCCAGAGAGGGGAAACACGTCACCCCAGGGCGTACGGTTACTTAGACGTGGAAATGAGACACGGACCTGTTCACCTAAAATGCTTTAGGGTGAATGGGATCAGAGCAGGCTGGGGTAGCGGGGAGCCCGGGCCTCTCCAGGGCCTCCCAGTTCTGCCTTCTGTGTCATTGCCCTGAAGTCTTGCCTCTTCTCTCTGACCTCAGACTGCTTTGGCTCGCCTGTGTTCACCCCGATCAAAGCGGATATCAGCGGAAACATCAAGGTACGTGCAAAGAGCCTCGTTCTCGATATTTCAGGAACGCTTCTAGCAGACGTTGTCCCTCCTCACGCAGCCGTTCACTGAGGCGTGGGGAGAGCGGCCGCTGAAGTCGTGGCTGCCTTGTTCCCTGATGTACCGTGATGGTGAAGAGGTGATGATGGACAGTGGGATCATTTCTTGGCGTGATCAATAGCATTGAACGAACACCTCACGTGTCTCATTTCCTGTCCCCGCCATCTAGGAGAGGTTCAGTGGTTCAGGCCATTGGATACTGCGCCCAAATTAGTGATAGCCTTCCCACAGAAGGGAAGCCCCTTGAGGGTAGGAGCTAGGTCTCCTGTTCCCTTTGCATCCCTAGCACTTAGCACAGTGCCTTGCAGAGAAGGTCCTTAATAAGCCTGGTGGTATGGACCTGTGACTTTTTTAAGAAAGCAAAAATCTACCTTTAAAAAAAAGGATCCCATTTATAATGCTGTTTCTATTTCCCAGTAGACTAAAAACTGGCTGTATACATTTTATTTACAATATATAACCTGGGAAGAAAAGGCAGAGGGCCAGCCTTACAGTCAGTAATTCAATAAGCATTTATTATGTCCCTACTGTGTGCAAAAATGAAACACTCTTTGCCTTCAGGAAGCTTACGTTCTACTCGGGGGAAACAATGCAGAAACAGATAAGTAAATGTTTAAACTATTTGTCAGCTAATTTGGGAGAAGGATGGAGAGAGGAAGCTTTGGACTCACGTCCTGTGTCTGGCACATCTGTATGTGACACCTTGGAGAAGTTGTTTGGCCGTTCAATGTTCCTGGCATCTCTCTGACTCTAGTCATTCAGAGGAGTTGCCAGTCTACATTGGTAGATGGGCTTTTTGCGCCATTTCTCTATACTGATGAAATCACAAGTCTGGACCATTGTCTAACAATACACACACACACACATTTTTATATATATATATATATATATATATATAAATAATATATATAATTTATATATAACATAATTTATATATATACACATAATTTATATATATATATAACATATATATGTAGAGAGATAGAGAGTATCTATCAATCCATTCTCATATGTATCCATATGTAAGTATATGTATATGTGTGTGGACACACAAGGATGGATTGACAGACTATAAATATGTATAAAAAAACATGGCATTTATAGTTGATTCCCACATATAGCTTAGGTGGGGTGATTACCTGATCACATCCCTCTACCTGCTATTATCTCATTTTCTTGATTCATTTTCATCACAGGTTCTAAGGCAGTCCAGACATGTGTTTTGATATTTCCCTATTAATTATAAATCTCTAATGAATTAGCTCTGAGCCCCCACCCTGGTTGATTAATCATTATTTGATAAACTGGAGAAACTGCCTTTCCCTTAGGCTTTTTGCTCACCTCTCTAATCTTCTGGGTTTAAATAAGCATCAGGGTTATTGGCTATACTGTTTATTAACAGCCTGAACAACCATAAAGGAACTGCCTAAATAATTCTTCACAGCCCCTGCCACACATGCAAACACACATAAATATGTGAACATACGTAGATGTGTAAATAGTAGGTCCCTCATAGTAGCCCTGAGAAGTGATCAGTGAAATTATTATTATCCCCACTTTATAAATGACATTGTTGAGGCTCAGAGGAGGCAGTTAGATTAGTGTCTCCTGGTCACACAACCATCAAGTGGGAGAGTTGGGCCTTGACCAAAAGCCTTCTGACTGATTCCCGTGTCCCAAGACCCCAGCACCCTATGGCGCTGCCATCCGACATGCGTACTCACAGTGGATTTTCCCACCTTGAACTTGCTGATGGTTTTTCCTGAAATCCCAAATCTCGTTGTCTCCGCTGGGATAACCAAGGCCTTCTTCCCTCATCTAAGACCTGTGTGGGGAGACGTCTGTGATCCCTGGGACAGAGGGGAGGGAGGCGATGGTGGCTTCTTTCCCACCTCCCCTTTTTTTGTGCAGAGGTAGTAGACCCTCTTGTTATGGGCAGTGCTTTTCAACCTGGAAACCTTTTGAAACTGGGTGTTTTGTTTCAGACAATCCGAGCTGTTTACGACAAAAACCCCACCAAGTTCCGAACGCTGCAGAACATCTTAGAGGTCGAGAAGGAGATGTATGGGCCCGAGTGGCCAAAGGTCGGGGCCACGCTGGCACTGATGTGGTTGAAAAGGTGAGAGAGAGTCTGAGTCTGGGTGCGTGTGTGTGTGTGTGTGTGTGTGTGTGTGTGTGTGTGTGTGTGTGT